TTAGTTTTTTTGTTAGTTTCTAATGTATGCAAATCTAGAGAGTAAAACCTTTCCTTATTCTTTGTTGCAAGAAAACCCCGACTCGCACTGATTAGACAGACAATCTGATTTTAAGTTGTATTTTAATCTGCACTGCGTTGTGTCAGTCTAAATCATTTTATTTTAACTCTGGCTGTATGTTTAGTATTGCCTTTTTTGCACAGCTTGGTTAAAAGCTGAACAATGCATGGAAATGTACAGTTGTGACCCACTCTTTTTAAAACAAAAAGGCCATTACAATATTTTAAAGGAAAAAATAAAAACGGAAAATCTACATTTTGATTATACCTATGCGTTTTGAGCTCGAGAGGTTTGGCTGAACAATCAAGTATAAAGCTCTAGTGTGATGTTTCATATAGGATATCTAATAATCGCTTAAGTAGTTAATTACTGCTTGATGCCAGAAAATGTCAATTAGGAAAGACAGTGTTTGGATTTCCAAGCATTTGTCTGAATGGCACAGCTCAATATCATCAGCATAGAGATGGGACATTTCTGAGCTTGTTGGAAGAATATTTAAGGAACTTTATGTTTAAAAAGTCATGCTAAATCAATTTTTTGAACTTTAAATTATATCTCACCTTTAATTAAAATCATAAACAAAGTGGTATTTCATTTAATTTATGCGTGCCAGTAATCTTCATGAAGAAGCCCCTCCCCATCTTGGAAAAAACAAGTGACCTAGACATCTCAACATAGATCTGTCTTTCCCTGCTCTCTCCAGGTAGCACCTTCCTTTACTGCACTGTGCCTGACCAGTAAACTGGCACTTTCTCTGATCCACGAGGGGTGATGTGAGGTGGAGCACAGCAATGTTGAGCAAAGTTGAGAGGAAGTGGCTCTGTTTGTGCTTTATCTACTCAGAGACATTAGCTGTTTTCATTTTAGCTAACCCCTAAATTGTGAAAATATGTGGTTTGGCTTCGAAAGGTCTCAGACCTTGTTCAGCCTTTCTAAAAAAAAAAGGGTAAACAAAGAAATATTATAAAAGCAGGGCTTATTGTCCTTAAATGTCATTGTTGCTTAATAGATGTGAAGCAACATGTCTTGTGGTTTGTGTTTTAAAATAAAGCTGGAACAATTAATGTGATTATTCGATTATTGAAATAATCGTTACCGGTACCTAATTTAGTGGTCGAGACTCTAAAACGTCTCTTGCTAACAGAGCAACCCACCTTGAGCAGGCAATTATACCAAAATTGTGAAAAAAATATTTACACTTTTTTGTGTGTCAATGTGCTCTATTCAGAACTCAAATGGACCTAATTTAATTTCATAAAGTCTTCTTTAAGGAACGTTTTGCTACTCGATTATTAATCCCAAAAAATTATCGACAGATTAATCGATTTGCAAAATAATTGTTAGTTGCAGCCCTAGTTTTAAAACATTTTTGATTATGGTTTATGAAAACATTACAACATTACAGTCAGTTAGAAAGCAAGTATATACCTTCTAATCCTCTGGGTTTCAAGTTAAGTGCAAATTTGTTCTGGATTGCAAGGTTATTAGTTGCCTCTGAAGATTGAAATCCTGAGAATTAAATGACTTTTACTTAGTAAGTGATGTGTATGCAGTGTTAGGTCATGCTTTATGTGCTGGGTGTGTGTCAGTGATTTGGATTTCCATTTTCTTGTATTGCTTCATGAAGACTTTGTCTCAAGTCTGTTTTTTTAAGCACTTTTTGTAGATGATGTTGTTTTCTATATCATGTTTAACAGGAGAAAATGACCATGAAAATGAGTAAAGCTGGTGTTGCCATAAAAAATAGGGTATTTCACCAAATCATATTTTATGGTTTATGTTTTACAATTATCTTTAAATCCTGTCCTTTCTTGGAATTACAAAGAGAACCTAAACTTTGAACTTTAATTTCCTTTTCTCACTGTTCCTATTTTTTTATGATGTCTTGACTCAAGGTTTCTTTCACTTCAGCGCGCTTTCTGTGTGTTTCTTCTGTCTGCCCAGAAAGTAATGCTTCCATTGTTACTGTTTGGTCCTAGCCCTTAAGAGGTTTTGTACTTGGTCTTATGGTGATTATGCATTCTAGCTACTGATTTTCCCATCATTACTTGCACAATGCTGCTGCTGAGCTGCAGCTATTGTTGTGATTTGATATCAACACAGGAACCGGAAATGTGTGTTGGTGTGCAGGCGATAGACTTTGTCTTAGCGATTGTTTTAGGGAGAGCCTGCTCATGTCTCTGTGGTACAGATTTGTTTTCTCATCTTTAATTATCAAAGATTTTTTTATCTTTGAGTTCCTATTTAGAAAAATACGCACACATTTGTTCAAAAAAGTTCTGACATCAAAGATAAAAGTTGAGTTCTTCATTTGTTTAAGTCTTTGTAATTTTTTTTTAAATGCAGAGCATCAATGAATATTTAATTTAATGTAAAAATGACCAGACTCATTTAAAAATCTGGATTTCAATTGGAAATTCCATTTATTTGTGGCTTTTTGTTGCTTGTATTGTGATCAGGCAGTGGATAAACCATTTCATCAGCAGAGAATCGGGTTTTATGAGTGTATAACTTGACAACTCTTGCTCCATTTGTGTTTTCATTGCAGCTAGAGATTGTAATAATTTTAAGGCCATTTGCTATAGAGGGCTGATCTTTGGTTACTTTTATTTTCTGTTAGCCAGATAAGTCCGAGCGCCCCCTTTCAAGGGGGCTGCAGCTCCAATGCAGCAATACAGTAATAGGCCTGTAGCTCACTAACTTTTACACTGACATACAATTAAATGTCCAGATTTTCATCAGAGACTCCTCTACAAGACTATCTACTTCAATTTAATATCCCACACCATGCCAAAAATACAATTTAAGACCAAGTTTGTGTTTCAGTGGGCCTCATTTCAAAAGCACATGTAGCAGCGCGCAATGATACTTTGCTAACGAAAGCCAACAAGATACTGAATTGACGGGAGTCAAACTCATTAGCAAAACTCTGATCTGTTGCAGCTGGCCATTACAAACAGTCCTCCAAAAACCCCAGCAAAGCACATAAAATCTGTCCTGCTCTTGCATGTGATTGGCTAAAGCTTTTGTCCATCTCAAATAGGTGCATATCATTGGATTCTGTAAAATGTGTCCTGTCCAAAGAGCTATGAAGCTCCCTGTTTGGACAAACGGTTATTTAGATACTCCCACCTGTCCTCAGGCTTTCTTTTTTCTACCTAGCTTTGGGTATATATTGTGTAAATAAAGAGTCCTGAAAAAAATACAGCTTCCTATTTTTGTGAGGAAAGCTGTGTTTTTATAACTAATTACGTATCAGCATTCCAAATTTTAGACTTCAAGATTAAATTCCAAATATCAGATATTATGCTGAACCGTTCCAAAATGGCACAGTAAGAGTTTGCCTGGATTTTATTTTTAATCTAAACATCTATAACTTCTCAGTTGCTTGTTAGATGGACACCAAACTTGCTACGTATGAACCAAAATGTTGATTGGCAGGTTTTGTATGCAAGCATCTATTGATTTTTTTTTTAAGGCAGAAGTGATTTTTTTGGCCATTTAAACCTTATTTACCAAGAACCTGAATAATGCACCTTCAAATTTTCCGTTCCCCTTCATCCTCCAGGATGAAGGGAAGGGAAAATCAACTTTATGTCAGTTGATAATAAAATTGCAACAAGATGATATATTTAATAGCTAATCCTGAGATTGTTAATATGTTTATATTACAGGTTTGATTTGTTATTGAATTGATTAGTAAGGAACCACAGGAGTGTAACCGTAACTACTGGTGGATATTGGTGTGTGTTTTGAAAAATAAACAAGACACTCTAGGTGTTTCTGCCTTACTTCCAGAGAGGAGTCTGATTTAATTTGGAATCTGAATTCCAGTTTGTTTATTTATTTATTTATTGTGTGATTTAAGTCATTAATTAAAAAGTTTAATACTCAAAACTTTTTGTAGCTTGAACATTTTATTTTAAGAATTAAGTTGTACAGGCAAAAATTTCTTTGTGGGAAAAAAAAAAAACTTGCTATAAACCTCTGCCATCATATAAAGATGGAAAAAGCATCAAACTCCACAGTTTTTTTCCAGCAGAGTGAAGTGCATGTGTGCAGTAACCCCTATTAGCTCAAAGGAGATCAGGCTACAGCGATAAAGGTGGCGATCAATAGGTGCCAGGTCTACTCTGAGCTTCTAGTATCAGTGATTTAAAGGGAGAGAAAGTCAAGCAATCACATGTGTGTTGCAGCGCTTAGCACTACAGTAAAGATGGGTTCTTTATAGATTGTTATAGTTGACCGCTTTCAGCAGAGAAAAAGGAATAATTACTAGGGAAACGTCTAGAGCTGTCTACTTCCTTCAATGCACAGTGATGTTTTGTGAGTTCTTTAGAGAAATAGTTTTTGTACTTGAAATTCTTTCAAATGCATACATTTTTGTAATTATAATAAAGCTCACTAAAATAATCATTGTTCTGATTGTCTATCATATGATTATGAATCTTTTATCCAGGTATCCAATGTATAAAAGCATTGGATAATTATAATTTTGGTTAATACGTTGTGCTTAGCTGCTCAAATAAAATATGTGAAAGAAGGAGGTGTTGGTGTGAGTTTAAAAATTTAGCAGTGGCAGCTCAAATTTTATTCAAAACTTTAAAAAAAATTAAATCATATAGCCCAGTTGGGGAAAATAAAGCCTGATTTTTTTTTTTTCATTTAGATAAATGAAATGAATTTGAAATAATAAGCGGTTTACTTGGATCTGCTTGAGTTTCTAAAAACACGTCTTTGCCCTTTTCCACTGTGTTGAATTGATTGATCTCTTTTCTATACTTTAAGTGTTATCCTATTGTAAGAAGTTTTTGTCTTTATATGCCACTCTACAATAAAGGCTGTTGGCATCGTAATATCAACAATAAAAGGTTCATATAAAAAAGGGTTAGGCATGTTGGTCTTAATAAATATGCATTTGTTTTTCCTGTATTTTCTAGTTGATGGCCTAGAGAAATCATCTGTGGCCAGCTGTGATGTGGTGGTGGACAACCCTTCCAATACCCAGAATGCCCATGGGTCACGGCAGCAACGAGGCAAGCTGTCGACGCTGGGTAGGCTGTTCAAACCCTGGAAGTGGAGGAAGAAGAAAACCAGTGACAAGTTCCAGGATCTCTCCAAAGGTAGAGTTAAGGAAATGTTCAGCTGTAAAGTTTCTCTCTCTTTTTTTTGGACAGTGTGCTATAAATGACTGACTGCTGAGTTGTTCTCTCCAATTAAAAGTCTGGCCAGTGTCACAGCTTGTACCTTTGAATTTGTGGGGAACATTAAGCATGAATTGGACCATTATAACTCTCTGAAGAGCTTTAAAAGGAAACAGTTGAATGGTTTGTTTGTAATTTTTTGGGTTATATGCCTGAGCTGCGGGTCAGGAAATAAAATAGACGGGGAAAAAATGGAAACACCAGAGGCTGTTTTTTTCCATATCTGGTTTGTGTAATATTTAGCTTTTTGATTTATGCAGTTTGGATGCTTATTTTAAGGATATTTTACTGGGGACAAGCTTGATTATCCTATCCATTTTTTGTTTAGAATAACTTCATTTTTAATTGTATTGTTTACTTACAATAGTTAGCAGAGAGGCAGATGCTGATTGCTTTAAAATTGGCAGCTCTACATGAATTAAGCTTACAGACATGTGTTTTACTCAACATAGGAAGAGAAACTGAGCAGGTTAGATGGTAAAGAAAAGTCTGTCATGAGTTTACCTCAGCTCTGTGTCAGAAACTGATATACTGGGTCATGCATTGTTGCAGCTCTCAGCATTGCATATAAATATTGTTATAAATCAAACATAATTTTTGCTTTTTAACAGCTAATTATGCATTCCCACAAAGGTGACAGCATGACCCTAAGAATGAATTATATACTTTTTTCTTTTTCAGACAGAGGCTACAGGTTAGAGTTTCATTAACTTATTAAACTTTGTATTGATGATTATGTTGTTTAAATTTTTATGTTCTAGCTGTGTGTCTCACTTAGTTGCCCAAATATCTTTTTACTTCTAGATTTGTTTACCACTTCCTTTTGATATACCAAGTTTTTGAGATGCTGAAGAAAATTTTGGGGGGTTTTTTTCCTCTGGAAAACACAATCTGTACAAATGCTATTATGGGGAAATATCTTGTTCCTGATCCTGAATCAAATGATCCTATGAACCAGGAAATTTGGATTACAATGGGATGGTAATCGTGAGATCAAATAATTATTTTGTAACGTATTGCCTTTAGGCAAGAAAGTCTTAAAAGGGATCTAGTCAGTACTATATCTAGCGATGCATGGATCCGGTACTAGGATTGGATATTGACTAATTAGCTTGGTGTAACTTTATGTCTGAGTATGATATCAGTTAAAAGAAAGTCCCTAGTGTTTATGATTGCAACACTGATTACATCACCGTGCAGAACAGAAACAGCAGCTAGTGAGCATTTATATGGGTGCTCATTTGCTACATTTTTTAACAAAGTTTATGTTGAGAAAGATGCCTTCGGTCTCATAGCGAGGTATAGGTCTAATTACAGGTGCTGGTCATAAAATTAGAATATCATGAAAAAGTAGATTGATTTCAGTAATTCCATTTAAAAAGTGAAACTTGTATATTATATTCATACATTACATACAAACTCATATATTTCAGATGTTTATTTTGTTTAATTTTGATGATTACAAATGACAACAAATGAAAATCTCAAATTCATCATATCAGAAAATTAGAATATTGTGAAAAGGTTCAAAATTGATGGCCCCTGGTGCCACACTCTAATCAGCTAATTAACTCAAACCACCTGCAAAAGCCTTTAAATGGTCTTTCAGTCTAGTTCTATAGGCTACACAATCATGGGGAAGACTGCTGACTTGACAGTTGTCCAAAAGACGACCATCGACACCTTGCACAAGGAGGGCAAGACACAAAAGGTCATCGCTAAAGAGGCTGGCTGTTCACAGAGCTCAGTGTCCAAGCACATTAATAGAGAGGCGAAGGGAAGGAAAAGATGTGGTCGAAAAAAGTGTACAAGCAAGAGAGATAACCGCACCCTGGAGAGGATTGTGAAACAAAACCCCTTCAAAAATGTGGGGGAGATTCACAAAGAGTGGACTGCAGCTGGAGTGAGTGCTTCAAGAACCACCACACACAGACGTATGAAAGACATGGGTTTCTGCTGTCGCATTCCTTGTGTCAAGCCACTCTTGAACCACAGACAGCGTCAGAAGCGTCTTGCCTGGGCTAAAGAGAAACAGGACCAAAGTCATGTTCTCTGATGAAAGTAAATTTTCCATTTCCTTTGGAAATCAAGGTCCCAGAGTCTGGAGGAAAAGAAGAGAGGCACTTCATCCACGTTGCTTGAAGTCCAGTGTAAAGTTTCCACAGTCAGTGATGGTTTGGGGTGCCATGTCATCTGCTGGTGTTGGTCCATTGTGTTTTCTGAGGTCCAGGGTCAACGCAGCCACATACCAGGAAGTTTTAGAGCACTTCATGCTTCCTGCAGCTGACCAACTTTTTGGAGATGCAGATTTCATTTTCGAACAGGACTTGGCACCTGCACACAGTGCCAAAGCTACCAGTACCTGGTTGAAGGACCATGGTATCCCTGTTCTTAATTGGCCAGCAAACTCTCCTGACCTTAACCCCATAGAAAATCTATGGGGTATTGTGAAGAAGAAGATGCAATACACCAGACCCAACAATTCAGAAGAGCTAAAAGCCACTATTAGAGCAACCTGGGCTATCATAACACCTGAGCAGTGCCACAGACTGATCGACTCCATGCCACGCCGCATTGCTGCAGTAATACAGGCCAAAGGAGGCCCAACTAAATACTGAGTGCTGTACATGCTCATACTTTTCATGTTCATACTTTTCAGTTGGCCAACATTTCTATAAATCCTTTGTTTTTATTGGTCTTCAGTAATATTCTAATTTTCTGATATGATGAATTTGAGATTTTCATTTGTTGTCATTTGTAATCATCAAAATTAAACAAAATAAACATCTGAAATATATGAGTTTGTATGTAATGTATGAATATAATATACAAGTTTCACTTTTTAAATGGAATTACTGAAATCAATCTACTTTTTCATGATATTCTAATTTTATGACCAGCACCTGTAATTTAACAGTAGACTGGGGGCGGTATCAGCTATCCAATATGCTCAGCCCATGTATCCAATTGCCTCCAAGTATGATTAGTTAGAAAAAAACATATTTATCATTACATAACAGTACACATACCATGGGTTATTGTGGGTAGTGTTTGCTTAGTCCTTTTTTAGTCTGAAAATACATTTTGCACCAAAATGAATCAGAAGACATCAACATCGATGTCTGTCTGTAAAATATAGATTTTAAACACTAATTGATCACCTTATAAACTTTTTTGTCATCACAACCAGCCATGGGAAGTACTTGGCAGTGAAATCTGAATGATTTTTTAGCTTTAGCTTTCAATTCATTGAACACCAATGTTCATTTTGCATTCTGAGGGCTACTCTTGTATTATTTCTCTTTGTTTGTATACAAAAAACTTTGTATCTTGTTTCTTTTGCACCTCTGCTGGTTGAATTTAACGTGCTTTGTTTCATTAGACATAATAATATGGTTCTCTAATGATTGTTTCTTTCCTTGTGTACTCATTGCACACATTTGCGATATCGTTCCTTCGTTCATATGGTCTTGTTATGGTAAACTCTCTGTTTAGAAACACAACCAAAGTGTGAAATACAGAAATATGATAGGCTAACAGGGTGCCATAATTGCATCAATAAGTACACAGAAACAGATGAGAAATTCACTAAGTGGTAGTACATGAGCAGGCCCCTTTTAAAATGAAAGCGTATTACATGTCTTTACTTTTTCGTATTTCAGTTCTAGAGAGGAAAATCTCCACCAGACAAACTAGAGAAGAGCTCATCAAGAAAGGGGTCCTCATCCCTGAGCAAGGTTTGTCTCCATTTACTCATGTGTTTATTGGCTGTACTGGCCTGCACAGTTGGATTAGACAAGATGAAAATCCCAACAGACATTTTTTTTTGCCGTTCGCAAATTCTCTCAGTGGATCCATGTGTTTTTGGTTTGTTGTATTTTTTTTAACATCTTTTTGCTCATGTGTTGTCTGGCTTAACCTTGCAGGTCCAAATCATCAAAATCATGCATGTTGGGTTGATCTTCCACACTAAATTGCATCTTTAGATGTGACAGTGTGTGTGCATGGTTGTCTGTCATGTGGGACTTTGTTGCCCTGGTAACTGGTAACCTTTTCTAGGGCTCTAGGTGCTATTAGCCTAATAAGGCAAAGCTGATCAGCTCACCGATATTCTCATAAGGCATCACTAATGCAAACCTGCAAATTATATGCTGCATGTAAAATTTTTAACTTGCATGTTTTTTCCTGAGTTATCTTGTGTTTTATGTCACATATCAGTAACACCTTGTACATGTGAAATCTGAAAATTTTGGCTTGAGTAAATTTTTTTTCATTCATTTCCCTGCTGTTTTCATTAAAATGAATTCAAAGTGTGACAGAGGCCTACTCTCTCCTTCTCCCTCAGACGAACCAATCAGTAGCGAAAATCTGAACGGCCATGCATCATCCAGTTTGACTCCAGAGGAAGTCAAAGTGGACATCGAGTCTCCTGAGGGTCGTGTTGACAAACAAGCTGTTGGACCAGTCAGCACAGAGGAAAAACCATCAGGTGGTTTGGTTTTCTTCTTTTTATCAGTTTCTGTTTAAACTTCCCTGCTCTAACCTGTAGTGGCCGGGGGAACTACTGCCTCCACTTCTCTTAATGACAGTTCGGACTTGACAGAACTCCTGCTTTTTATATTATTTATATTATATTTATTACCACATTTCCCTGTTTAATATGCATAGATGCACTTTTCAAATATATTGGTAATGCTTTCTTATACAGTTCATCAATAACCATGTAATAACATGGTAATACCATAGCAGTTTACACTATATTACTAGGTAACAAGAAAACCTTTATGGTGAATTTTGGTAAGTGCTGTGTTTCAAATATTAGGCAGACAAAGTAAAATCAGACTTAGATTTTCAAACCATTATTACCGTCATTTCACTGACAGCAATACATGTGATATTATCTAGTAAAATGCAGTTTATTACTTGGCATATAACAGAAAAACAAAAGCTTGAACACAGCAAGCAAATCTTCTTGACTAAACTCTTATTTATATGTAATTTAGGTTCAGTTTTCTAATGCTTTATTTATCTGATCATAAGTTACAATTTACTTTGTAAGCCATTGTTCAGTGGTGGCCAGCAATAGCAACTGTTTTGTGGTTAATGGTAGTTAGTTGTAGTTTCCCACCAAAAGTCTCCATTCTTACATAACATACAATGGAAATAATTACAGCAGGTAATTACTTTGAAATTATATACAATAATTCTGGGGTAATTTTCAAATAAAGCTTTTCTTTTTACCAAGTAAATTAGTGTCTTGCTATATTATTACCTTGTTATTACATGGTTTTTGATGTACTGAAAAATAAAAGCTTTAGTAATATATCATCAATACCTAATCATCAATTTAACAGCTCTGATCTGCCTTTTAGCCTGTAAAATTTTTATTGGAATACATCTAAATCTTTCATTCATCTTTTCTACTTCATTTCTATCAAAAAAAAAAAAAAAAACAAAAAAAACCTTTGTTGTTGACATTAGCTGGCAGTAGTGACAATGAATACCGTAAATCCTCTAATATAGGACGGGGCCTTTATTTCACTCAGGTACATCTTGGTCCAGGCCATTATTGGAAGGAGGCCAGAATTAGAGGCAGGCCTCTATTTCTATTTGATCAAAACAGACCACCAGTGGAATAAATAAAAATTAGATTTTGTGTCTCCTTAAACCTATAAAATACTAGGTTCATTTATTGAAAAAGTACAGTTACCATAATGGTATACAGAACATTATTCAGACATCTTCCAGCAGCTGCAATTTTTCTGCACGGCAGTATGAAAAGAAAAAAAAAGACACATAAAGGAATCTTGGCCGAACTGACTTGCGAAACAAAGTTTTTAAAAAAAATTATTTACCTCCGCCGACAGCGACACAGGCCATTATTAGAGACCTGGCCGCTAATGAATACAGGCCAATATTAGAGGATTAACGGTAGTTTTGGCAGCAGAGTTGGAAAAAGAAAAGTCGGTTACCAATCATATGTGGCCAGGGGTCATTTCTACCAATTCCAGTCTGCAGAAAGTTTCTCTGTGTGTAATAAGAACTGGCCGGAAAATGCTAAGATCAGCTGTGTAGAAAATAATTGGGTCATTGTTGCTTTAGCTCTATGTATTGTTCTTTAGCTATTTAATCTCTGTTTTTCAGGATTTTTATTTCAGCCTTTTCGTAGGCTTTGAAATTGTCATTGCATTCGGCTCTGTCCTTGTTTTGTAGCTGACAGTGACCTCTCTGAGGGATCAATGAGCAAGTCTAATGTGTTCAAACAGATAATGCCATTACATCAGTGCAGTATCTCCTCCTCCTAATGCTTCCCATCCGTGTAGCCTTTGCTCTTTGGACTGATGCTGCTTAAGTGTTGTGCTGTTTTTGTCTCAATTCTGTTAGTATTGAACTCGTAGCAATTTGCCAATAGTCAGAATGCCAAAAGGGAGCAAATTTGGCAAATAAAGCAACAGATACCATAATACTAGACGCTGGGAAAGTAATGCACATAGGTCATCTATCAAAGTCTATTTAAAGGCTGCAGCTCTTTAACAACACAACCGCTGTCTAACTCTGTTTTCCACAGTCTGTTCTTGCCTGCATGCAAGTCCATCTCTTCATAACTGTGTGCTCCTCTTTCCTTGCTTCTCTCTCTTTATAATTGTATAAAATCTGCACACTTTCCCTCCTTTTCACCTCCCCTTTTCTAAACTGTTCAGAGAGGTCCGTTACTAAACCCCCTGCCCAGACAACTCAGGTGAGACCTCGAGATGCTCCAGTTAAAAAACAGCAAAGTACTGCTGTGGCCACTGCTGTCAAAGCTGCTGGTGGCACCACCACTACCACTACTGCAACAAGACACAAAGAAGGTACTCCAGGAGCTAAAAAGACAACTAAAACCACAGGCAAGGCCGGCACATCTCTGCAGGCTAAAGCTAACCCACGACACACTAACACCACAAGTCGAGGGGTCGGTAAGTTCAGCCGACTGAGACTGCAGCCCGTAGTCCCTTGAGCGCCTGTCTGCCTCCCTGCATGGACAATATGTATGTATCTCTAAAGAACAAACAATAAAAAAGAAAAAACTGGGCCTTTGATAGATCAATCCACACCTTCTCACCCCATATCCTTGTATGCTTAGTGTCTTAAAAAAGTCATCCCTTAAGGGCTTCCCTGTTTTGGCCTATTACAACCATTATTTTTATTTTATTTTATTTTAACAAGTCATGCAGAGATTCAAGAAAAGTGGAAGGCCAAATGAGAACAAAGTTGAACTTAATTGCGCACTTGCCACAAGGCAAAACTGAAACTACACATGGTTTTACACCCATCCCCGCAGTGTAGTATAGTATTGTATAACACTGTGGGGCTACTTTTCTGCAGCCCATGGACTCTGGTAGGAATTATTGAAAAGATTGGTAGATAGATTGATGACTGGAGGTAAACCCAAAGCAATGCTAAAAAACAAAACAACAAAAAAAAGCCCAGGTGGAGCTTCACCTTCCAACAGGACAGCAACCTTTAACATGTAGCCAGATGTACAATAGAAGGGTCACAATTAAAGTATAGCCTTGATACGATGGTATAAATGGTAAATGGCCTGCACTTATATTGCACCTTTTAAAGTTAGGGGACTTCAAAGCGCTTTCATTCAGTCATTCTCCCTCTTTTGCAAAAAAGCACACACTGATGCTGGTGAGCTACATATTATAGCCTCAGCTGCCCTGGGGCGCACTGGCAGAAGCGAGGCTGTCGTATACATGCCATGCCGGACCCTCTGTCCACCACCAGGCTATATAGTGGAAGTGTATTGCCCAAGGACACAATGAGCAAGATGGACAGAGCTAGGGTGCAAACCAGTTTAGATTCTATGGTTAGACTTGAAATTTATCCTAAGGTTACTTTTAAAAATAAGACTGGGCAAGCATTTTGGTCTCTGGACCAAAATAACTTTTAGTTGTAACTGGGACAGAATGTGGTCCTTTTAAGTGTTGATTTAAGGGTCTAAGTAAAATAGCATGTCACAGTTGTAAGATTTTTATTTCTAAAACAAACATTTGATAGTTTCATTATCTGGCAATTTCACAATTATGTGCAGGTTAGTTCTGGTTTGTCACATGAAATCCCAATAAAACACACTGAGGTTTGTGGTTGTAACATGACAAAATGTGATATTCTCAAGGGTATGAATACTCTGAGGAATACTGTAGTCAGGTCAAATTACTGGCATGGGCTGCTTCCTCCTTCTAACAGAGGGGATTACCAGCCTTCCAACTGAAGAAGAGTATCCTTTATGTTATCTCTTTCTTCAAAAGAAGAAGTGAAGGTTTCTGTGAAGCTCTGGAAACACTACTTAATACACCAAATTTATTCATGTAGGAGTTTTATGCAGGGGTGTAAAGAAATTATGTATAGGCTTGTCTGTCGGACCTCCGCTGTATCGTGGAGTCCACAGATGAGGATACAATATTCCTCTATTTTGTCTGACATTCAAACATTTTCAGTTTATTCTTTTCTGCCTTCTTTTACTTGAACACAAAGAGACCACAAAAGCCCTCAAAAAGCAGTTATTATTCCATATCACCTTAGGTATAATGGTAGGTTTTTTTGCTTTTTTTTTTTTAAAGAGGACTTAAATATTTACCTCCTGAAACATCTTAGCTGGCAGCAGGCTCTAAAAAGCCCTCACTGTCTCTGGTTAAACGTGTTCTAAAAGAATGCACAGTGTACTTTTTATCCTGATCCACTTTTAATTGTGTGCATATTTGGTATTTAGATAATTACTTAATACCTTGTTTGGAGGCAAAATACGAAGTTATAAGCCAAAGCACTTTTTTTCTGCCTGTAGATACTACCTTCAAACGGCTGGAAGATCACATGGCTAGTCTGCTAAGATTGTACCAACTTGATCAGTCATTTAACCAGCTGAAAACATGCACTTGCTAAGATGAATATTGTTGCTTGATGAAAAGTAGGTTTGATGTAGCTCATAAATTAGTCTTTTAAAGAGATTTTTTGTGTCTGGTTCAGCGTTTCCTTTTCCCTTTTCTTGTCCAATGATATCTCCTTTTGATTCAGTTTCTTCCTACAGTTTATAAAATAAATTTTGAGCTTTTGTTGTGTAGGGATACTTGTGTCTAAACAGGCCCTGAGAAAGACCAACATTCTTGACTAGAAGTTTGCTGCTATAGAACGTGAAAAGATGTTTTTTGCCTTGTGAAAAATTGCACATTTACCACAGCCTTTTCATGTGTGTTTACATTATGGCAATGCAATCATATTCTTTGCTGCAAATAGCCAAAATTCATCAACCCTTTATTTTCTGTTTGAAATCAGACTGCAGAGGGAACATACCTAGATGGGAGACATTGGCAATGCGATACATCTAAATCATATCATCGTTGCCTTGCTTTTGTGATGATGTCTTACCTTTTTATTTATTTCTAAAGTTGATGCATGTTCAGAATGAAAGAAACCAGTAGCCTTATCTGCCATACATTTACTTTGCTCCAGTTACTTGGTTTGTTTTTCCACTCCACTTCTGAAACTCTATCACTCAAACAACATGCATGCTGTGATTATATCTCTTTTAATTTTTCAAGTTGTAATGCATCCTTTTACATTATTGCCATCTTTCATTGTAAACTTTTTTTTTGTGTGATTTTCATTCAACCATAGCAGGACATGTAACCTGTTGAGGCTGGAACCTAACTTCTATACCAATTAACACTGGTATTCACAACCAGCCTTTCTCCAGGAGCAAATCCTGGTGGTTCATTTCAGCCTTTCTTTACTTGCTTTCTTTACTTTCTCCTCAGCTAAATCATCTGCTCCAAAGAAGACAGGAGCTGCAAGTAAAACCACCTCCACTACCACCTCAACTCCTCGTTCTCGGGCATCCAAGGATGCAGCGGCCCGTTCTGAAGGGACGGCTCCAAAGACCAACAGGAAATCAGACACTCCAGGTTCTTCATCTGAACCTCAGAAAACCTCCACAGAGACTCCTAGTCAGCCTGAGGAGTTAAAATCATCTCCAGCCTCCTCAGACAAAAAGCATCCTTCATCCAAAACGTCTGGAAGCAAGACAGAGGGAAATCAGAATGCTTCTAAACCTGATCAAGAGCCTAAATTGGCTCCAGACGACAATACTTCAAAAGAAGAGACTAACAAGGTTGAAGCTTTTGAGACCACAGAGGAGTCTTCTCATATCAACCAGTCTACAGAGGACACGTCGTTCACAGGAGAGAAAAACAACAGTTCACAGGGGGAGACACCTGAAGGGACAGAAAGGGGGGAAGGGGAGGACGTGAAAAAACCAAGAGAAGCAGATTGTGGTAAAGAGAACGGCTCAAGGTAAAACCATGTATAGAATTATTTATATCCCTTTCTTAGTGCCTGATCTTGTTTGTGTGACTTTTCACTGCTAAAGTTTGCATGAATATATTTCCCAGCATATTATCGCCACAGTTTCTGATGCTATTATAGTAAGATTCCTGTCCTGTTGTCACCTATAGCTGTTTCTATGTTTAGAAAAACAAAAATGAGCATAACGCTCAAAGAGATCCCTCAGCTCGATAGAAACCTTTTACTCCTATTTTAATCAAAACTGTAGTGCAGAAATCTAAATGTATGCATTTTCATTAACTGTATCGTGGTTCCCCCAAATGAAATCCAAAAGCCTTAAAAACTAACAGAATGAGTAAAGGCTACCTCTGTGAAACTTGACTTCAGCTGGTCTGTGCAGACCTCCACGGTTTATTTTAAAACATTAGAGAACAAACGGCATCGGGAAGACGAAAGAACACAGCAGACAAGTCAGGAACGTTGTGGAGACGCCTAAAGCAGTGTTATGTTATAAGACATAGCTTAAATGTTGAGCATCTCCTGGAGCTGTGACCTTTTATCATGTGAAAACGGTGGAGGGTTTTGAAAATAACAAAACATGCTTTTTCAGTCAACTGAACTTTAGCTCAGGCAATAAGATCATGAATTAAAGGAGCAACCAGGAGGATTTGTCAAAACTACTGTTAAATTAAAGCCTATTTTGATATCCAATTTATAGTTTCCTCCAGCCATACAGACGACATGTCTAATGTTAGAGGTGCTCTGGTGAGGGAAAACTTCTTGGCCTACAGGCAGAATGCTGCGTGTGGAAAAAGTAACACTGCATATGAATCGTGGTGCTGAGAGGATCGGGCTGTGAGGATGCTTTTGTTTGTTTTTTTTCTTTTTAGCAGGAAGAGTGTTAATCAGTCAGAGTTATGGGAAATATTAGAGCTAAATACAGAATATTCCTGAAAGAAATATCTGCATTTAAGATAAAATATCAACATTTAAGACCAAAGCAGAAGTTTATCATGTACTAGACAAACAGCCCTGAACAGGGTTACAATTTCTTTGCTGGGATGGCCTAGTTAAAGTCCTAAATTAAATTGAGAGTCTTCTACTATGGCTGACAGGTTATACTCACAACAGTCTTTATTCACTCTGAATTGAAAACAAATGTGAACATTTCACTCTGTAGATTTCTGTAGTTGTTGCAGAGATAAGTCGATTAACTTGCAGTTTTATGTGCAGCTACAGATGGTTCTGGAAGGTATTGATACAGCAGAGATTAACCTATGATTAATTGTCGGTGCATAAACTAAGAATATAGGAGGTGTCAAAATATCTGCTCACTCTCGTTTATGGGCTGTCCAGGTCAACGGAGGATGAATCGGAAAAGCAGCCGGGCCAGAGTGTGAAGATGGATCAGGTCCAGGTCACGGTTATCCCTGATAGGCCAAGAGACAGCCAGACTAGTGATTCTGATTCAGATGGACCAATCCTGTACAGGGGTGACGATGACGATGAAGACGACGAAGATGAATACACAAACAGTATGACGTAAATTTAATGATATGTATTTGAATATGCCTGAGAAATTCACCAAGTTGATGGCATAAAAATCATAGAGGGTTAAAAAAATGTGATGTCAAAGTTGTGCTAGACATTATGAATCACTTGCAACCCCAACTTGGATTTAGGGGGATGGATGGATGGATGGATGGATGGATGGATGGATGGATGGATGGATGGATGGATGGATGGATGGATGGATGGATGGATGGATGGATGGATGGATGGATTCTGTTGATTATTATTTACATTTGTTCAGTTACTTATGATCTGATTAACCAGTAATTTAGCTTTTTTTTATATAGTTATGTTCTACCAAAACTGACAACTTCAGATATTTTGATTTAAGTTTTTCTCAGTAGCCATGATATTATGGGTATTTTTAACATTATCAAGTAATATAACTATAAATGCATGAGTATTAAACCCCTCGAAGACACTGTTGTTGTTTTTTTTCTCTTTCTAACATTTTGCTAATTTTTTCTATCTAAATTCTTAATATGAAGTTTTATTTCAGTTTCTTGAGGCCTTAAGAATTCATTTAGTCTACCTCCATCCCTCTGTCAGACTCTTTGGCCAGCAAGATCCGCCGCCGAGACACCCTGAACATTAAGCTGGGCAATCGACCCAGCAAGGAGGAGTTGGAGGAGAAAAACATTCTGCCAAGGAGCTCGGAGACAGAGAGACACGAGCTCCGTCAGCAGATAGGCTCCAAATTAGTCAGGTACGGACACTGACACAAAAAAAGGATGCTGTGAAAATGTGGGTAGGTGCTACCTGTCATAGATTTGGCTCAGCTGTGGGACAATAACAGATTGGTAATTATTTAATGGTGCAGCCGTGGGTGGTGTAATAGTACAAATGATCCACAGCAGAGTTCTGAAGAGGATTAAAAACTGCAGTGGAATTCTTTTAATTAATAACAAATGGGGTTAAATACATATTAAATGTGTTAGAAATATATTTGATTTTCTTCTTCTTTCTGCGGTCAAATAAATGTTTCAGTTATATTTCTATTAGCCCGTTGTAAAATGGTACATTGGCATAATCTTCTTGTTTTAGACGCCTGAGCCAAAGACCTACCACAGAGGAGCTGGAGCAGAGAAACATCCTCAAACGTATGTTTATAAAACGCTTTCCTAATCTTCATCATGTTAAGGATAGAGTTTATAGTTATTGGTGATAGACTTGGGCTTATAAACCAAAGCATTTCAGGCTAGAGATCAACAGACAAGTCATCTTTATTGAAAGGATTTTGGTCAATTTCTTGTTTTTTCCCTCCGAGTTTCAGCTCAACATATAAATATGAACACATAAGAATTTTCAGGCCTACTTTAACCTGTTTACCTACTGCAGAGCAAATAAATTCATCCTAAGCACAGATGATGAGCTGAAAATGGGAATTGACTGATGCATCAAGTCTTGTAATTTCACTATGTAATCTTGTTGTGTGATAAACAAATTGAATCTTTTCGGGGGGAGGACGTGGTATGCATCTTGAAAATGCTAATGCATTTCCACTGCTTGCTTTGCCAAAGCAAAGCAGGGTTAGTGATCATTCTCTGGTAGTGATGGATGGATGGATTTGTGGGCAGACGGAGAAGGGGAGTTAACTTAGGTCCTCACATGTAACCTGCAGTGACTCCTTAATCGGAATAAAACCAAATTTAAGTTTGAATTTCTTCAGAAGTTTATCAAGGTGAGGCTCTAAGTACTTAGAGCTACGTGTGTATTTGGAGATAGGAAATCCCATGTTGAATAAAAGAAGCAGCTTTCTGCAAACATGATGGCAGTGAAATTAGTCTGTTTACTCTCTGCATGCAGAAAAAAACGAAGATGAGGAGAAAGAGGCCAAGCAAGAGATTAAAAGGAGACTCACCAGAAAGGTACTGTAAACACTGAGTGCACACACAGCAGTCTGTGTAGAACTGGGACATTCAGTGTTTCAGTTTTATTTCCCCTTCATAAAAAGTGCTTCTACTAAACTGTATTTTTTTCTTTTCTCTGTGTGTAGCTGAGTGTGAGGCCTACAGTGGCAGAGCTGATTGCTCGCAGGATTCTGCGGTTTAACGAGTATGTGGAGGTGACGGACGCTAAGGATTACGATCGTAAGGCAGACAAACCATGGACACGTCTCACTCCTGCTGACAAGGTACTGATGATAGTTTTTTTTGTTTGTCTTTATTGACACTTCTGTTTACTTATTATATTAAAAGACATTTTATTATACAAGAGGGTCCCTTTTATTGATTAAGAGGATAAGATTTTAGGTTTATGTAGATTAGTGAGATTAGAGGACCAGTAAATGTTGGCTTTGTGACAAACCTACACGACCTGTAGTTTTTCTCTTGTACCGAGAATAGCATGAAATTATTTATCCATAAGTTTTCTTTGTTTATTCGGCTTAAATTCTTTGTCCAAACTAGACCACTCTTGCAGCATGATGTGGTTGTTGGATGTTTTAATCACATTTCTGTTTTTGTGCCAATTCTGCCCTCCACTGCTGATATTAGGAACTGCACACAAGATGCAAAGTTAGAACTGGGTCACATCGAACACTAATCACAGCGTGCACCTGATTATAAGAGATTAGAATCAAATGCAGAAGCAATTCCAGGATTGAAAAATGTCAAATGGGTTGTTGTGTCAGGTTCTGGTGCAGCCCCTGTGGTCCTAATCCCATCGGACCAATCTGTTTGGAAAATCAAAGCCTGGTAGATTCTATTTGTGTTTCACATTAAGCTTTATGATAAAGTGAAAACGCTTTGCTGCACTTTTACTGTATGGCAGTTTGTTTTTTCCTTAGCATAGGTACATAGGCAGTCACTACAAGGAGCTGACAGGCTGCTTATAGTCACAGTAAAAGGTATGTAGAAGTATTTTAGGAAAAAATAACTTTGATTTTAGAGATTTTTTTGACCAAGTGAGGGAAAGTGTAAGAAAATACTCCACTTTTTTTTTAAACCTCTGAGGGCATTTTTTTCCTATTTAAGCTATTTTTTTTTTCTAGAGAAATTCAGGAGACCATCTCTGAAACAAATTCAGAAAACACTGGACGTTTGTCTGATTTCCTGTGATGGAGAATAAGCCTTTTTCCTTTTAATGAAGCAAAAGCAATAGTAATAGCCCAGGCTTTAATGATAGCAATAATCTTATCTTTAAAACATCAAAAATACAAATAGTTGGCTTAGAAATAGCTTTGATATGGCAGATCTGTGAAAAAACATCAGAGATATAACCCCCACATGGATAAAAAAAATTGACATTCCCAGAAGCTGTGGCAGGGTTGGGGTGACATGTAACGCTGGTTGGATCATTTTGCTTAGTGTAATGCAACAAAAGTCACATCTTAAATTAACTAAGGCAATGTCTAAAACATGGGGATGAATCATGGACTGGTTTTGAAGATTTTGACAACACCTCCTCTGTGAGGGGAGTTTGCAGGTCCTCCTCCCAGACTGACTTGGTTTTATCAAGGGATGGCAGGAAACCGGATTAAAAAAAGTGGTTTTAGGTACTTTCTCACTTTGTTGGAGGGTCTTATATGATGCTAAGCTGTTGTTTTATTATGGTTGCCATGCCTGGAAGAAAGATAGGGAGGGAAATCAGACATTATACGTTTATTATTATTATTATTATTATTATTATTATTATCATGTGTCACAATGACGTCTAAATAATTCAGTGAATTACTTTCTAATTTAATGTGATATGTTGTGATATGGAATTAGTTGGGTCAGCTATATAAAGAAGCAGGTCATCGGCACCATGAGGTGTTGTTTCTTTATTGGGCAAGAACTTAATTGATCATTTTTCTAACTCTGTGTTTTGCAGAAGTTGCTTCTGATATCCTTCCGGCTTATGTTTTTTTTTTTTTTTTTTATCAGCATCCGCTCTTTGAGTGGATAAATCAGAAAGACGGTTTGTACATTTGTTTTGCCCATATCTGTTCTTGAATGAAAGCTTTCAGAGATCCCCATAATGTGGCTTTATTGGAGTTACTGCTTTTAAGTATCATTTTGTTTTAGGCTTTATCAGCTGACTTTTGTAAGCTTTTATTTTTGAGAAGCTTTTGAGCAAAATAATGAGGAGTAGGGCAGTGATTGACATTAATGTACTCGGGTTCTCACTGCATTCATTTATGTTTTATTCTAGATTAAATAAAAAATCAAGCTGTTCCTCAGGAAAATATATTATTGTAATGAAATTTGCAGGTACCAGATAACTTTGATTAGATGTTCCCTGTTTGTGTCTTATGTGATCACTTTAACCATCAAATATTTTAAATAAAGATCTGATAAGGACCAATAAAGAAGAGTTATAGGAATTATAGGAATGAGATAAAAGGTTTCACAAAAATTTTTACCTGGGATCTTCGGTCATTAAGCTGTGCTGTCATGTTTCTGTTTTACGTAACTGTGTTGCATAAGTTAAGACTTCTTGTACAAATATGCAAAGAGACATGAAATAAATGTACGTCCTTATAGTGCTATAATCTCACTATGACTGAGCTTTAATTATCATTTTAAATAGCATTTATTTTGTAATTTCTGCAAGAAAAAGAAATCCCCCTCCAGAAATGTAAAGGGGACATACAGTAAAAACCTTTTTTAATAATAGCTGTTCGTCAATACTTGCTAAAGCCTCTTTTTGCCAGTAGAACAGCACTCTTGCAGCATACAGAGGGATGCTATCCTGAACCACCAGATCTGCGATACTTTCAAATTGTTACTTCTTTCCAGGTTATCCACAAGTTTTTTCATACTATTAATGTCTCTGGACTGAGATATAAATGGATGTTTTTATTTTGAAATTGCTATATTTTGGGGGGTTTACCAAACTGAAACACCCGAACAATGCACGACTTTTCATTTTACTATATAGGCTGTGGGTTTTTTTTTTATCTGTAATTGTTTTTAATTCAATTAAATTCAGTTTATTTATATTAATACCACGATGTATTAGGGCCAGGCTAGAGATTTCATTTTTTAATCTGAGAATTGAGTCATAAAATTATGAGAATAAAGTCGTAATATTAATAAGAATAAAGTTGTATTTTATGACAACTCTTACAAGAAGCCATTTCTTCCCTAAAATGATGAATGTCAAGAATAATGTGAAGTTATACTTCAAATAAGGAAATCTTTTAGCACACCAGCATCAAATTGGGCAGTACTGTATGTCAAAGTGGACTCAGGTTGCTGTTTGGTGGTGCTGGTCGGCCGCCATATGCTGGTCGAAGCTCGAAGCTTTCCCTCTGAAATGGATTGTGGTATGATAACTTCATTCTTGTTAGTTTTCAACATTATTCTCGTAATTTACAACTTTATTCTCGAAATTAAAATAAATATTCCTATAACCTGGCCCTAATACTCCATCTTATATTAAGCCAATTCACTAATTTACCAATTTAAAGTAGTAGATCATGCCATGCACTCTAGTATGGATTCCATGGCCCACAGAATCACAGGTCCTCCTCCCTACTTGACAATATACCTGATGTCTCAGTTCACACAAGTACACTGTTCCTATCAAAGTGCTTGTAGTTATTAACAAACCATATAATGCTTTTGTTGAAGGAGGACATAAGAGGGTTTCTAATGGAATAGCTTGTAAACAATCTGCTGACATGTAGATTGATGGTGTGTAATGGTTTTTATTTGGAGAGGTTCGCTAAGAAGCAGCTTATGGGATTCTTGGCACTTTTCCTTACAATGCTGCTTACAGCGCATGGTTGTCAACACGCATCTGATTTAGGGCTGTTTTTCTGCATGCCTGTCTTTAGAAATGCATAGTAAATGTGTGGATTCATGGTGTTCTAAAAAGGTTTAGAAATAATACATGAAAAAGTGATTCAATAAGATATCAAAGCAACTGGTTGTCAGTCCAAAGGAAAAACCTGTGGAACCCGCTGTGGTCGGTTAGCTCTGTAATCCAGGTATCTCTTCCAAATTGAAAGACTTTCTCATCATGGCCTGTTTGTGTCTGTGTGTGCTCTGTCCCCCAGGCTGCTATACGTAAGGAGCTGAATGAGTTTAAGAGCCGGGAGATGGAGGTTCATGAAGACAGCAAACAGTTTACAAGGTACCCCCTGCAGTCAATTGGCTCCAAAGCATAACCTGACTCTGAAGCTTCATCGGTTGTTAAGCTCAGGAAATCTTCAAGTCCAGCTGTTTATTAGCTCTCGCTGATCAATACATGTTATTGTGTTCCCCTAAAGCGTCTCCAGCTATCCTTATTAAAGTCATGGTGGATCAGCTTCAGTTCATTACCCACCAGCACTGATTGTGTCTGGAGTTCAGCTTTTTTTCTTAAATGTTTAGACCTGTGCAGTATTGGCTTTTCGTTTAGATCTAAACCTCGACTACATCCCCCATAATAGAGCTCTAATTTAATTTAGAAATTCAATTTCTACAAAAAGCAGCAAAAATAACCTACAGCATCAAACAAACAGTGGACTTTAACCTTTATTCAGTGATTTACTTTCTGTCAGATTATCAGAGTAATAAAAGTCTTGCAAAGTCAAAGTTTAATAATAACTAGTAATTACCGGTATAAGGTTTTCATACCTTTGTTTTATTTTAAACAAAAACTCCACCTGATGTATAAAATATATCAATGGAACAAACCTCCAAATATGACTTTTGTTCTATATTACATCTTTAATTTAATACATGTATGTTTAACTGGAGTATGACCTACAGTAAATAGATTTTGTTCCTGTGAAACTAATTCAAAATCTGTTAAAGTTAGCAGAAATATACACTGGAGGCTGTTTGTTAATGAGATGACTAGTAAAATGCTGGAGAGAGTCGACCATCCGTAATGTTTAAGGGAAAATTTAAAAAGATATATTCACAAAATTAAGACAATGAAAAGATGTAAAATGTAGAATAATCAGTCCAGAATTTTTTAATTAGTCTTAGTTGTCCAAATGCCAATAAACACTGCTAAATCTAAACCCATGTTTAGGAATCTGACAAACATATCAAATAATTAATATCTGAAGAAGTATGACATTGGACTATTAGCAGGAACACTATGTTTATTCGTCAAGAAAGAATCTGAATTGTTTCAGGTAGCATTTTTCTGTCTGCTTGTTTTTAGCTGTGATAAATGTCTGCTTTGTGTTTTCAGGTTCCATCGACCCTAGGTGCTCCTACGGCTCTCGCACTTCTCCTTTGTCTACATCTTCACCTTATTTCTCTTCAAACCTGTTAACCTCTTTGAAACAGACACCTTGGCCTGTCCTCGCAGGGAGGGCCCAGTTTTCATTTACAGAATAGACCGAGATGGATGAGTCAGGGTGATCTCTGTCAAAGGATAGTGGGATGTTTATAAAAACAGTGCCACCATCGCTCAACTTGACTTCTCCTGAATACAAAAAAAAGAAAAATCCAAGATGTCATCTATGAAGAGGATCTGTTGCTCATGTTGATACATATTTATGTCTTTAATGACAGCTGAAGAAGTGTCTTAAGGCCAAGGCCATGTTAAGGCACTTAGGAAATATTTGCACATATCTATGATGAGAACAGTGCTGTGTATAGCTCACTCAGTAGGACCTCTTATTTATTGTAGATTATAAAACCTTTGGTATTTTTATTGTTTTTGTTTAATCTTTTTTCTCTTGTTCATTTCAGGCCTTGTAATGAGAGGTCAGAGTTTGGAAAGATGAGCAACGTTGCCTTTGTGACTGTGGCTCAGATACAGAATGGTGTGCTTGTAAATGCCCATATATGGGCGTCCTCCTGGAAAAGGAAATGGGGATGGTTGGGGGTTTCAGGATGATGTCAGTGCCTGTGGAACAGATTGCTCAGAAGGGTGTGCAGTTTGTTCTGCTGTGATGTGCCTCACAGTGAAATACCATTTTTTTTTTTTTTTTTTTACATGCTCCAAACTTTGCCACTAGGGGGCATAATATCACAGTGGTTTTAGATGGGGATCTAAAGAGTGTGAGGAAGACAGGGATTGTTCAGTTGCTGCATATAAAACTGCTGAAGCTTTTGAAGAAGTGAAAACCAGAAGCTTGAATAGTAAAGTGTAAATTATATTAGCCTTCTCGAAACTTGCCTCCTCAGCACGTCGTCAGTGTTCATTTTACGTGATGTGTCTTATGCCGAGCTGCTGGGTGCAAACTAGTGATCACAACACGAGTGGCTTGCTGTTTGGAGGAGCTACAGCTTCTTTCAATTGCAGTTTTACATTTAAATCCTCTCGCTGGGGCGTCTCATTTAGAGGAGTCTTTGCCAAATAAGATGTAGGAGTTTAAATCTAAGTTGTCTTTCAATTGAAAATGTAAGATTTTTTTCTATAAAGTAGGTTTTGAATCTGGCCAATAATGGAGCCACTAGAAAGCTATGTTTACCAGAGTTTCTAGTCTTTCAAGTCAGGGCAAAATGTTTTATTTTACCATCTTTCAGGTTTGGCTGATTACATTTTTCATTAATATCAACAGTGAAACATTAAGCATTGTTTATTGGTTTTCTTATATTTACATGTTCCTTCGTTTTTGATTTGCCTACAGCATCTTGTTTTCAGCATTATAGTCATCAATGTTTTGGCTCTAGTGTTTCGGGATTAGAACCCATGCATAAATTCACACTATTCTGGGGAAAAAATGACCATTTCACAGCTTTTTGACATTTGGAATACTTGAAAACAAGGTTTTAAACTGGATCTGGGGCGCTTCAACTCTGCATGATTCAGGTGGGTTTAGATGCCAGACAAAGCTGTGATAAATAGCTATTATTATTATTATATATTTGTTGTCAAAGTTCATAATATGGGCTTTAAAGAATCTAACCTAAAATTTAAGAAACCAGAGATTTTAAAAGAAAATAACTAATTTGTTAAAAAATCCTCGCCATGTCGCAGAATCGGAATCCGTAATGCCTAAGTGGTTTTTACGTGGTATCCAAAATGTTATAAAAACGGCTCAACATGGAAGGTCATTAAACACACAACAAAATCTGTTTACCAAAGCTCCTTTCTTTCTTTACTAATCAGGGAGCTATTTGTGCAATTTGTTGGGAATGGTTGGTTAATTTGATCAAAAATGTACTCCTTTGTGGAAAAAATTTGTAGTGAAATTAGTCTAATTGATAATCATTTATTTGCTATTAAATGGCTTGAATGCTTTTCTATTTTTGATAGGCATGTGTTTGTAACCACAGCCTTTAAAAGATTCAAATGTGGACATTTTTTTTCGTCATTTTTGTTTTGTTTTTATTGAAGCTTGGAGCTCCACAATATCCATCCTGATTTTAAAATGAAATGAAGTAAAAACGGACATTGTGCCTCAGTTTGCAGACGCTGCAAAACAAAACCGTGTACAGAAATGGAGCAGTGTTCATTCATGTCTGTGTTGTTATTTGTTTTGCACTGAGGGTGTATCAAGCATGTGCTTACAATGAAATCCATTTTATTGCCAATATTACACATTACTGTAAATATTTTCTTGTCTCATTTCATCCTCGTTGTATTGACATATAAAACAATAACTGCATATATAATATGCGCGAAAAACCCACAGATCTAATACTTTTCCCCAAATGTTGGACAGATAATATATCCTCCAGAAAACTTTTTTTTTAATAAAGCCAAAATGATTTTAAGCTTTAAATAATCTAAGATCATTTAAGTATCACTGAGCTTTTTTTTGTATTTAACCATTATACAAACACTGAAATAGGATCATTCTTAGTGAGAAATATTTATGAAGATCTAGAGCTAGAGGATACATTTAAAAAAGAAAAAAAAGCTGAATGAGTTATTTAAATTTCTTCAGTTTCCAAAGATTATGTATTTTAGTGTAGGTTTGGAAATAGATTGTCTTAATGGACGAATAAAAAAAAAAAATTGTAAAACTTAAATGATTTTTGCCTAATCATGTAGTTGAACACAATATTAGAGGCTTTCAAAAACTTAAAGCTCATCCTACCTACAAACAAATATAAACAGAGTAAATCTGGACTTGTACTCACAAAAAATGAAGAAGTCTTAGATATTTTCATAGACTTAAACACTTAAACAGGTGAAAGCAGCAGTTTGTAATAACTGAGAACATCTGCCAACTTCCATAGGTTTATAAAAACGTTTACAATGTAAAAAAGAAATCTTGTTATTTTGCTTGTTGCCTCCTTTATCACTTTTTAGAAGAACATTCCAGAATGCTCTTATGATCAGACAGAAACCTTTTTGATTTGATGTTGATTCAAACCATCAACTTGCATATTACTGTAATAGTCAATATAGTTTAAACCTCTCCAGCTTTGAAAACAATCAAACTGAGGGTTTCTTCTAAAAAAGCAGGTAGACATTTCAGATAATTTGACATAGTTTGTTACTAAATATTGGCTGTAATGATCTCATCATATATCCAGATACAGCTACTGTTACATCCTTATTGTATATAGTGTTTTGTATATAAAGAGTTATGAAAACATATATGGGGTTTCCATGTCTACTTATTTTGCCTTTTCCTGCCTTCTTTTAAATTAAAACATTCTGGAACAAAACTGTAGAGCATATGGGTTTAAACCAAGTCTTACTGTGATTTAAGCCTATGTGAAACAGATAACCTCTTCTGTGACAGCACCAACATCTTTATCCCCTTTATGGGTCTGAGTAGCAGTAGGAGGAAGATGTGAGTGCTGTGATTCCTATCTTAATGGAAGAGCATATTTTCTGCTGCTGTGGGCCCTCCCACACATTTCCGATCCAACCGATTGAACATCCTTTTGAAGGAATATCGTATGAAACGGAATTTCAAATACATTGAAAATTAAATAAAATTAAAGCCTTATCTTTGGAAATGATTGAAACAGTTTAGAAACTGTACTTGGTCATGGCTCAGTCTGAATGAATTGCTGCATCAATGTGATGCGGTACGATGAAGGTAATCTAGCATCTGCTGAGATGTTAAAAGCTCAATATGCTTCTGCTCTCTTGCTTTGTTCTACACAGATACTCTGAGGTTTAGGTCAGGGCATTTTGTTTGCCATCAAATACATTAGGCCATTATTAAACCAGAGAACTACTATTACAAGTCATGTTAATAAAAAACAAAACTGCATCTCAAAAATCTTGTCGGCCGATAAAAAGCATCAGGACCACAAAGATTTTTAGATGCAGTAGTAGCCATTCAAAATGGCCCTTCCCAGTCAAACGCCAGCCGAATGGCAGCATATTCCTCTGCGAATCCCAGCTAAATCCCTTCTCAACTTCCAGCCACTGGCCTTTTGGGCGTGCATTTAAAAAAAAAAAAAACCTGACTCGACCCTTTCACTGAGTTACAGGGTCTTACCATGAAATAATGCCTCTCTTTAGATCATAATGTCCACAAATCATGACAAAAAAATATTTTTGTACAAAGGTTGATGTTTACAAGGGAATTGTAGAGGACCAGCCAAGGCCCATCAAGGAAAGTAGGGAAATTTTAAATTGCTGCTACTGTAAATGGCGGAATTTACTTTAGTAAAACACCGTGGGCCGACACCAGGAGAGGTACTGGATCCTTTATCTATACCCTCTAAATAAGCTTTCCTCAACAACTTTTCCTTCCACTCAACTTTCCATACACTTCCTTTAATGCAGTGCTCTGTAAAGGAGTAGCTTCATCAATCAGCTTTTTAGGTTAACCCTCCTTATGAAGCGTTCATAATAGTTCATGCCAAACATTTCTCTACCACAATTCCTCTTCTTATTGATAGTATGTAATGTAAAATTGGGAAAAAAGATAAACTTTTTGAATGCCAGCACTGAAACAAATTAGGTCTTGGAGAATGTTCCAATCTACTGAGAGGCACCTGTAGTTCATAATTACAAATATCTGTTCGGACAGGCTTTAAAGGTTTTAATAGAATGTGCATTTAAGGTGCTGAGGAACTGGAGAAAAATGGAGATGCAAGACGGGAAAGCGAAGAGGGGACGAGATATAAGCAAAGATGTAAATGACTAAATACAGGCAGACCATTTGAAAAGGGGGCTTTTTAGGAACAATCTCCCTACAGATTCAGCATTTCTGCATGTTAGAAAACATGTTATCAGGAACTTGGTTATGCAGAAACAAATTAGAATGGCCCTTCTCTCGGTTGTGAAATCCTCCCACAGACACACACAATGTAAGCTCTAATTAAGTTTCCCTCCCTTCATAGAAAGGCGAGTGTCTCCCCTGCACACTGCCTGTAGGTCTTGGTTATAATGTGAGCCTGCTAGACTAGAGAGGAGCAGACAGATGCCATCACTCTTTAGCTCCCCACGGTTACAAGAAATACAATTGTCGTACTGCTCATAATACTCCTGCGTTTCATGTATTATTTTCACTCTGTCAAAAAATATGGTGTAAGCTAATTAAAACTAAATGCTGAAAGATGGGAGGTACCCTTTTCGTTTTTTATTCACCCAGTTATTAGTCTGTTATTGTCTGCCTGCTGTTATTACAAATATTTTTCTTCCTTATTGGGAATTAGCCTAGATCGCTCCAAAAATAGGCCTAGGCTGCTGAGATCGTGAGGTGTTGTGTTTAATAATGCAAGTCCTGAATCTTTGGACCATTTGCCTGAGCTGCTAAGGGAGAGAAAAGTATGAGCTGTCAAAGAAAAAAAAAGCCTCCAAACAGGAATGAATGCAGACAGGCAAAGAAATGTTGTAATTAGTTACCTATGAGAGAAAACGTAAGATGCAACAAAGGTACTTTTGAATCCAAATAAACAGTTTAAGTGCCGGATGCTATGAATCTAATGAATTCCCTCAAACGAAGGCGATGACGAGCCTCCATGCATCATTAAATAAGTCACAGGGTGATGTTCGAGGGGTATTCACATGTCATGCTTTTATTTTCCAAAAAAAGCAGAACCAACACAGCTGGAATCCCTAAAATAGCGCTGAATGCATCTGTAATGGATGGAACAACACAAGATGATTGCAAACGCTGTGAGAAGTCCTCTGTGATGGGAATATGACGTCAATATACTGTAACAATGGGCATTTTAGACAGTTTTTGTGTGTGTTCAGGACGGCTGCACCCATATTGGCAATAAAATTACAGCTGACAGAAGTCAAACACTGCTCATAGTTTTCACAGGAATGAAATGCCTCTTATACAAGAGGTTGGAGATTATGAGCATGTTAAGAGGCAATATGGACATAAATACTGGAGAATTTGATTGTTGTTGATTGTAGTTAACTTGTATCAACCATTCATGACGAGTATATTCTATTTCCCCAAGTCTATGTTATTAATACATTAAGAAGAAACCAAGGACTAAGCTGGTAAAATAGATTTTTTTAAAGTTCTTAAAAAAATCTATTGTAAAACTAGAATCACTGATCAGCATCTAATAAAACAACACAATTAATTAATAAACAAACAATTAAATGCAAGGAAGACATTACAAAGTTAAAAACACACATTTTCACAAATAGGACGGATGATTTTCAGTAAATAAGTTAAATGCAGCATATTCTGGAGATGCAAGGGTCTGTTCTTGTTCCATTAACCAGCATCTTAATTTATTAAAGTGGACACAGGTGAGAGATGGGTCCATCTGCTAGCCTCTAAAAATGGGTGTTCTTTAGCAAAGAGCTGTTAAGAGCTGTAATATGTATATGGAATGAAATAATATATTAAATTACTTATTTAATATTAGGATATTACTATCTATTAAAACTCCTAGAAACGGAAAGCATTAAAGTTTCCTTTATGTCACAAATTTGACACATCACTTTAAGTTCAATGCTGGGGAATAATCCTATTTACAGTTGCTAGTAGCAACCGAGCTTTGGCTGAGACCAACAGTTGGTTGTTGCAGAATTAGGCTTGCATCTCTCCTCAGCACAGCACTCCAGCAAATGGATGGGGGGATAAAAAGGCATTCAAACATCTGTCATATCTGCCACATATGGCCTTTTAATGAGGAGACATCTGCTGAAACAAAATAGATGAATCGGTTTACAGGGCGCCCCGTAAGTGCACTGCAAACGTCCGTCCCATTTTCTACAGACAACCATGTTTTATGAAGGAGCATTAATGCTTACTGCAAATCTAATTTCAAATTGAGGCACATTTCTTAAACAAGCAGTTTTAGAAATAAGATTAAATAAGATTGTATATGTGGTTTCCTTCTTAACAAGAAAAAAAAAACAATAACATTTGTATGTTTTAAGTCAAATAAAGCATAATAAATAAAAAATTAAAAAAATCCTTAAAAACAAATTGTTTATGCTTATTGCTGGTGAAGACTCGCAGTCATCTATCATAGTCTTTCCAAAAAGTTAAATAAAAATCCACTGGACTTTGTTTCCACGTTTAAAGATGTTTCGCTTCCCATCCAGGAAGTTTTTTCAAATTAAAAATGTCAGAAATAGGGTTGAGTTCGAGTATTTGAGCTTATTATATTTTGTCGCCGGGAGTATGTTGGATACTAATTAATAATTTATTATTTTAACATTTACCTGCTTTGAAATGTTGTGTTTTGAAAAAAAAAGCAGTGACGATGAGGAACCTAAGATTGGAGGCTTTGTTTCACCCGATCACAAGCGCAGGGGAACAACCGGAAGAAAGCTGTCTTGTCGTGATTGTGGGCGAAATTGGTTAAGTTACTAACTTTTTGATTATTCGTGGGATATCCTGCGTCTCGTGTAAGTATGTTTCACAATTTAAAACTTATTTCACATCAAAACCAGGATTTACGATGTAGATTAACTGAGATTAAAGGCTGTGTCGGCTGAAAACGACTAGCTT